CTGAGCCTGGGGGTCCCCATCTCGGACCGGCTGGGCGAGGGCCGATCCCCTCGGCTCCTCCGGGCCCGCAGGCCGCGGGGCGGGGCGGCGCGGGAGGGCTCTGCGGAGCAGCCTGTTCCGCGACACCCCCGCCTGCTGATGGATGCTGACTGCAGCAGCGGCGGCGGCCGCGGCGGTCGGCGTGCGCCGGGGGCTGGGCACCGTGCCCACAGCCCCGGGCCTGGCGCCCGCCGCGCGGCCCGCCCCCCGCCGCGGCCTCCGTGCCCAGCCCAGGGGCGGCCGCGAGCCTGCCTCCTCGCTAGCGGCGTCCAACCCCTGCCTCCGCCTCCTCGGCTGCCTGCCTTGCCTTCCCCGCCCTTTCTCCTGTCCCCGCTACCCGCGGTCCACTGCGGGCCGGGCTGAGGTGGCCGTCTCCTCCCGGGCCCTGGACAGCCGGCCTTCTCGATCGCTCGCTCGCTCGCTCGCGGGCTCGCTGGGCCAAGCTCTAGTGGGGGCTCAGGGAGGGGGGGAGGGGAGAAAAAAGGAGGAGGATCCCTGACTCAGAAGAGGTGACTCAGCCTCTGTGGGCCTCCCATCCCACGGAGTCGGATCCCCTTCACTCCCCTGCAGATCCCTTTCGTTCCCCTGCAGCCCAGCGCCGGGCAGAACCCGCCAGGGATGTGGCGTTCCTCTCGCACTAGGGAACCCGCATGGCAACTGCCTTCCGGGAATCATCCAGGCTTGAGTGTCCCCTGTGTGTGTGTGCCCCAGTACCTACGCGCCTCTGTGACCATGACAGTAGAGTAACACCGAAGGAATCCTCCTGTAGGGGTTGGACCTGTATAAAAATGTTTACTACATATAAGGGCACACCGTGATGTGTGCAGCCAAGTTCTAAGAAGGGGCCACAGAGGTCATGGCTCAAAGCCACGCTAAACCCTGCTCCTCCCCTCCAGCAGCACTGGAGCAGCAACTCAAAAAGCCAGTTCCACCAGGACACCTCCCTCTTATCCAAGTCTTTGGCAGCCACAGAGCACCCTGGAAAATAGAGGGCCTGGGTTCCAATCTAGTTCTGCAACTGGTTCAGCAAGTGCTCTTGGCCAGTTGCTGCCATGCTCCTGGCTTTAGTTTGTAAGCCATGAAAGAAAGAATTAGAATTGGACTAAACCTGTCTCTGGGCCCAGCTTTGTGGGGAAGGCCGGGGAGTGAAGGCAGCAAGTTAGACATGGTCATCAGAGATTCCTGCTGTAGTTCTACAATGGTGACCCATGTGACCCTCACTCCTAAACATCACCAGGCAAACTCAGCCCTTCATCCATTCTTCGAAGCATCCTGCATACCTACTATGTGCAGGCCACCGTTCTGGGTCATAGTACTGGACATCCTGAAACTGAAGCTACCCAGATGTGGTGTGAGCCCTCTGTCACCCACCGAAACACAAACACACTGCAGTCATGTCAGTGTTATCTTCACAGTGTGTGTGTCTGTGTGTGTGTGTCTGTGCGTGTCTCTGTGTGTGTGTGTGTGTGTGTGTCTGTGTGTGTGTGTCTGTGTGTGTGTGTGTCTGTGTGTGTGTGTCTGTGTGTGTGTGTGTGTGTGTGTGTGTGTGTGTGTGTGTGTACCATCTCTGCTCAGCTTGTTCCAAACCCCCTTCCTCTCCCAACCCTTCTCTTTCAGGTAACACTAGATCCTAGAAATCGGAAACTTTGTAGGCTATGCTCTCTCCCAGCACTCCGTAGAGAATTCTTTGCCCTCCCACCAACCTTCTCCTCAGTGTAGACAAATCCTCTCATCTGCTGCCTCAAGAGCTGGTTCCTACGACCCTGCTGCTGCTGCCTGCCACCCACTAGACTCGGACTGGGCAAGAGCAGAATGACACTAGCAACACCGGCCCCCAAGACAAGAGGTGGAAAAGCGATTCACGCAAGCCAGACCTTTTCTCCTGGCTGCCCTCACACAGGTCCTTAGGAGGACCTCTGTGAGCAAATCACTGACCCTCAAGAGTACACACGATTTGAGTTCAGTGTTTATTTGAATTAATGACTGGAACAATCTGCCAAACTCAGGAGTAACACCAGAGGAACTTGCTGCTCTGTGGGCACATCTGTGGAGAGCGCCTCCCTCCGCTGCCCGCCTCTCAGCATTTTGCTTCCAAGATAACCTTTCCTCTTCTACTTTCTCAGCCACAAGCTCCCAAGACTGCAAAGCCAAGGCCCTCCCATTCCTCACAGTTTAACTCTTTCCCAGACAACCCCCTCCCCAGACATCACCACCACCCCCGGCCTTCCCCTGGGGCAGAGTCTGGTTCCCAGCCTTCTTGGCCACATGGAGCCTCTCACTTTCCCAGGAAAACCCAGGCTACTTCAGGACCAAAGCAGGATGTTCCCAGACTTCATTTGGATTCATACCCAAAGGGCCCAATTCACTTCCGGTTAGCGGCAACACACTGAAAGTTGGGCTGCTTCTAGAATGATGTTTGTTTCTATTGCTACTGTTTTTTCAACCATTATCTTCTGTGATTATTTTCTTTTTCTACTATTAGTACTTTCCAGTTTATAAAGAACTTAATTTCACAGCACCATTTGAGTTAATGTTATTCCTCCCTGCCCCCTCCCCCATTTATAAATAAGTAGCCAAGGCCTAGAGTGGTAAGTGATTTGGCCAAGGTCACTCGACACAGTAATGTGGGCTCTCTGGACCAGGCCCCTTCCATTTTCCCCCACATAATTTCTCCAGAGAAACTACAAAGAGACCGCATGGGGACTCTAAAGAATGCATGGTTCTACAGGCATCGTTGAAATCACTACCCTGTGACTTTTCTGCTTCCATTCCCCAAGCAGGGCAACTGAGGCATGGGATTGATTCAACACCACCATGGCTCATAAAAAGCCGTCACAGAGAAACATGGGGGATCATGGTGAGAAAGAGTGTATCCCATCATGTCGTTGGGCATGAATTAGTCTGCTCCCGGCCCTGGTTCCCCCTCTCCCTTCTGTGTAACGTGCACAGGTTGTGTGACCCCTCCGAGCCTCAGTTTAGTCACCTATAAGTTGAGAGGAGCTCCCTGCTGCACATCTGTTCCCGGGATGCTGTGATGGGAGCTCGCTGAGGCTCCCAGAAAAGGGAGGATGGGAACTTGAACTTCCTCCTCTGCTCTGTCTAAGGAGGAGGAAAAAGTCTTTTCTCTTACATTTTAAAAATAAGGGCACTTGAAGGTATTTAAGTCCAAGATCTACAAAAGCCAGGACACAGGTAAGGCAGAGCACACAGCACCAGCACCAAGCCTCCAAGACTGCTCGAGGGCCAGGGACTCCACCAAACATCAAACTACTCCAACACCTTTGACCTTTCAGAGGAGGAACTCAGGCCCCAAGCAAAGCAGAACTTGCTGAAGCTACCTACACCCAGGTGGTTAGGGGTCTAGGGATTTCATCACACAGGGTTTCTTGGCCTGATGGAGGAATGGGGGATGAGAGGTGTTCTTAGGGCTGGACCCCACATCTTTCGCCTAGTAAACAGTGACACTTACACCAAGGCAAGCCCTGGACACCAGAGAAGGAAGAACTGAAGAGTGAGCCCTTGAATTCACAACAGTCCAATGGCTGAGGACAATACACAGGCCAGCACATCGGCGGGCACCATAGATTAACCATGCTGCCACTCGCCAAGCACTTCCTGAGCCTGGCACTAGACGCTCATTCATGTGATTAATCCCCAGAACAATTCTCCGACCCTGAAATTACTAATCCCTTTTACAGCTGAAGTGACTAAGGCTCGGAGGGCTGATGACTTGCCAAAGCTCACTCCTCTGACACATGGCAGGACTATAATCTGACCGCCAGAGACAGCTGAAGCCAAACCTGGAGCTTCAACCCTCACAGACTGAGTCCCCCTGGCAGTAAGGTCTACACTAATCAATGCAGAACCCACTGGCCACAGGTGGCTCTCAACTACCCGAAATGTACAAACGGAAATGTGTAGTAAATATAAGACAAATGGTGGATTTTGAAGCCTGAGTACTAAAATTAAACAGAATGTTACACATCTCGATCATTCTTATATTAATATTATGATACCAGGCATGTTGATATGGGATCCCAGCACTTGAGAGATGGAGGCAGAAGAATCAGGAGTTCAAGGCTAACCTGGAGCTACTATCTCAAAAAATTAATTAAAAATTATAGATGTATTAGAGTAAATAAAATCACATTAGAATAATGTCATTTGGTGTGTGTGTGCATGTGTGTGTGTGTGTGTGTGAGTGTGTGTGCGCGCGCGCACGCGTGCACGCCCAGGACCTTAGGCATGCTAGACAACTCTATCCCTAAGCTATAATGCCAGGCCTGGCTTTGTGTGTGTGTAGTATATGCAGATGCACATGTGGGTGTGCACGTATGGGAGTACATGTGGAAAACGCCAGGTGCTCCCCGCCTGGTCTTTTTGAGGCAGGGTGCTCTCACTGAGCCCAGTGACCGGGCTAACTAGGCTGGCCTCAGAGTCACAGAGACTCATCCCACTGTGCCACACCCAGTTTGGTTCTTGTTTGCTTTGGGTTTTTGTTGTTGTCGTTTTGACATTAAGTCTTGCTGTGTTGCCCACCAGACTGGAGCTGAGCTCCTGGGTTCAAACAACCCTCCCACCTTAGCTTTTCCAGTGCTGGGACTAAAAGCCTGCCAAAGCTGCCTTTGTGTCTTTTGAGTCGTTGGTATGACTTGCACATGTGGTTCACACTGTGTTTTCTTCGGTCAGTATGGACTAAGATACTCTGAGGTTCTAACAGAGCGCATGGAGATGAGAAAAGGGATCTTGCAGTTAAGACACACTGGATTAAAACAGAGGTCACACAAGGAGGGTATTTCAGGGCAAGAGATCTGCAAGACATCCGGCTCTGGCCCCAGAGGGCAGCAGGGCCTGGGTGGGCTGAGCTAAGCCCCAGGCAGCTGAGAGCTGGGCCAGAGGGAGGAAGCTATTGGAGCCAAACTTTCCAAAGCAGCGTGTCCCATGTGGGCTTGGGAAGCTCAGCCTGGCAAGGCAGCTCTCCCTCACTGCTGGCACTCATGGACAGCCCTGCAGGGCGGCTGGGTCCGAGCGGAAGGAGGAGGCAGGGTTAGATGAACAACAGCACACGGGGGCAGGGATGCTCCCCTGCTAACGGCTCTTTCCTCTCCACTTCACTAGGAAGCCTCCCCAGAGGCAGTTCCCAAGGGTCTCACCTCCCCTTTGACCTTGGCCTAGACTGGGAACGGCATGCTCCCACAGAGTCTGCTGTAGACTGCCGCTGATGCCCCCAAGCTGCACGGCAGCCCATGAGTGTAAGCGCTAACCAGCCCATAGCTAAGGCAGCATGGTGAGGAGCGAAGCTACCCCTGTGAAGGGTGGTTCAAGATGGGGGCACTCTTTGGTACAGGAGCTCCGTGACCTTGGCAAAGGCTTGGCCTGCCTGAACCTGGGGTGCTGTGGGCACTCTCTCTTAGCACTGCTGCAGGATGACAAGACATTAGCCACCAAAGGGACCTGGCAACTCAGATGCTCTCTCCTACCACAGGTGAGACCCCTCGGCTACCTCTACAGCGCCCTCGTACTATAGCACAAATCCATGTGTCCTCAAGATTGCATTCCTTCCGAGGACATTCCTTCCGAGGAAAGCCACCCCACCCTCAGCTCGTGCACTCCCTCTCTGCTTCCTCCCTCCGTGCTCCACCTAGCCTAGCGCCTTCTCTGCACACCACATCCTTGCCTCCTCCCATCGCCACTTCTGAATTCCAGTCTCAGCTGTCAAAGAGGCACTCTGACTTAACAACACTGCCTCCTCTCACAGGCAGGAAGCTTGCCCTCCACTGCCATCTTGGTACCCACAACCAAGCCCTGGGCAGAGCTGGACATGCACGTGGCATGGACAACTGACTATCTCCAGGGCCACATCTGGGACTCTGCTCACCTTTGAGTGACGAGCCTTCAGCAGCGCTCATTCTCTGATGAGAGAACTCACTTCAGCTTGACTGTCGAGACCCTTGCCAAGCTGATCTCTCCTTGGTGCCTCAGCTTCAGTCTCAGAACCTATGTGACTGGACACCGATGGTTCTGGGTCCCCAGGGTACAGAAGCTTGACCACAAGCTTGCTTTCACAGGTGCCTTTTCCTCTGCCTGGATGATCTTTTTCTTTTCCCATGGCCATTCTTCTAGTCAGGATGTCCTGAGTAGCCCAGGAAGTCCTTCCTCACCTCCCCCCCCGCAACAGCCTCCCACAGCTAGACACAACATTGACTTTTCCCCTCCTTCCAGCACTCTGCCCACTGGCCCTGAGTTATGTGACTTGCAGAAAGCTCTTAACCTCCTGATACACTGTAGCTTTATGAGAGGTCCTTCTTGGTGGCCCTGTGAGCACAGTACAGTCACCCTCATCCCAGAGCCAAAGGTCAGGAAGCAAGGGGAGTCAAGAGTTCGCCAGAATGTCAGGACACCCCTGAGGATGAGTTCTGTCAATTTCACCTTGGCTACAGTTCCTTCTGGGGGCTCCATGCTTGCAACCACTGCCTGGGAAATCTTCCCTCCTCTAAGTCTGGGAACTATGCTATGGGGCCTGAATATGAAAAATGTGGCCCGGTTTCCACTGGAAACAGGCTGCCACCCAGCCTGCCATCAAGAGAACAAAGTGTCAGCTGAGGTTTTGTTGTGGTGGCATCACGGGTTCCTTGCAATCAGAGGAGATCTCAGAGAGCATCACACAGAAGCTGCAGGCAGGAGGGGCAATAGGTCTGTGTGCCTGTAGTCCCGGCGTGAGATGAGGCTGCGGCCGTCACTACCCATCAGCATCATCTTTGCAGAGTGTTAGGATCCCCAGTTACAGGCTGGCATGGTGCCCAGCAATTTGCCTCCATTTTCCATCGTAGAAATCACATATCCACCTTGATTTTACAGGAGACCAAACTGAAGTCACTAGTGCAGTGTTCTTTGATAATGGATAGGGGACTCTATCCCAAGATTCAGACTCAGATATACCTAAACCTGGAGCTTGTTTATCTTAGCACAAATACACCTTGGAAATGCTGAGACCAGAGACAACCACACAAAAGCACATGTCAACTTGTGATGCACTTATGTGCATTTTTGTATCTGTTATGACTTCAGTAAGAAAGTTTATTGTGCATGCAGGTGTGTGACTGTGTGCGGTGACAGACAAGCAGCCATGGCTGTCCTTCTGAAGACACTGTCCACCTTGTTTGTTTTCGCAGCAGGATTTCTCACAGCCCAGGGGTCTACCTGTCTCTCACTCCCTGGCACTGAGATTACAAGCAGGGGACACTGTGCCAGGTTTATTTTTAAAAACAAGACAAAAAACTATCTCCCCAGATCTAGAAAGGTGGGTTTTGTTTTGGTTTTGGTGTTGAGACAGGGTCTCACTGTGTAGCTTTGGAGCCTGTCTTGGAACTCACTACATAGACTGGGTTGGTTTTGAACTCACAGAAATCTGCCTGCCTCTGCCTCCCAAGTGCTGGAATTAAAAGCCTAAGAAAGAAAAAAATTTTGGAAAAGAAATGCTTTCTATGAGCTCAAGATTTTGGGGGTGTGAAATGCTCTTGAGCACAAGGGTCTCAGAATAGCAAGATGTCTCTGTTTCTTTCCAATCATCTCTGCATTTAAATAAGAGCTGATCAGAAAACCTCATGAACAGCCGAGCCAGGACAAACAACAATTCACCCGCTGCCCACTGCTCTGCTTACAGATATGTGCTTGCCTCCCAGTCTCCACGCTGGCCCACCCAGCCAGGACTCCATTTGCACAAGCTGGCGCTGCTCTGCAGTCTGCCCTGCTACCTTCTCCTCATCCACCCATCTGCAGAGACCAGACGGCCAGACCAGCCGCCGCACCACCACCTAATCCCAGCTTTTGAAGGCAGCCAGGCAGCGACGGCTGGGTGTTCCCATCTACTTGTACCAGGCCAGGCTGGGTAGAGAAAATGCCTGTGTGTAAACACAGCCTTCTGCTTCGACGGCTTCTGCTTGGACTCCCCTGACCAACAGGGCCCTCTGTGACTTTTATCTCCCTGCCCAAAATAACCATTGGCTTCTGTGGTTCTCTGGGCATGGATCAGACTGGTGAGAGACTCAAGCAGCTTGAGGATAGGAAAGACACATTTCATCTTTGCTTTCCCAGTGCACCAGTGCAAAAGTCTGTGGCATTTATCAGATCCTCTGTCTACTTGGAAGGGACCTATGATGCGAAGTGAGAGCTTGCTATAGGAAATGGTCACATGATCTCAAAGTTAACAGCTCAGTAGAAAATAAAATAGGGACACCAGCCAATTGCAGCAGAATACAGAAACTAGGAAAGGTACAAAGCAAAGGATGATGTTTGGGGAAGCTTGGAGGGGAAAGCAATTGGAGAAAAGCAGATGTCAAAGGCTTTAAGGAAAAGGTGGACTAAAAGCTAGCATGAAAACAGGACAGCGAGAAAGGACAAGGTAGGTGCAGGAAACTGGGCACATGTGGCTTGGCACTTGGGATGCTGAGCATTGACGCAGGGACTAGAAAGGCAGATGGTGCCAATCAGAGCCTTGAATGACATTCCAAGTGGTTTCCTGCCCTGTCTAGCAACTAGCCACGTGTGATCTGTGTGAAAATGAAACAAAATGTAAAATTCACAGTCAGTGTACTGAGTGGTCACCAGACTCTGAGGATTTGAACCTGCTTGCCTTTGCAGAAATTTCTACTATTAGTGACAGGGACAGCAGGAGGCAGGCAGAGGACTTGGGGAGGAGGTGATATGACGAGAGCTGGTTTGTGCCTGAGAGAGGAGATGACTACAGGAGAGCAGAGGACAGGAACCAAGGTGGGACATTCCAGTAGTCCAGATGAGACCCAGAGACACTTCTTGGGTGAGAAGGGTGAGAACTGAGTCGGGGAGAGAGCTCGCTGTTCAAGTCTGGCTACCTGAGTTCAGATCCCCAGGCCTCAGTGAAAGCCAGGCACGGAGGCGTGTGCTCTGTAACTGCAGTAACATGCTTGCCTATAATCCCAGAGTGCATGAGGAGATGGGGGACAACTCCCCAGGGCTTGAGGGGAAATTAGCCTGGCAAACACTACAGGGAAGAAAGAGACCTTTGTCTCAAATGAGGTGGAAGGAAATGACCAAAATTCGAGGGTGTCCTCTGATCTCCACATGTATGTTGAGACATGAATGTGTCCATGAACACACACATATACACATTACACACACACAGACATACATTTACATTATACATACACATTACACACATATTCACATTACACACACATACACACATTATACATACACTACACACACATACATATTATGTGCACACACACATTATACACACGCATACACATCATACACACATATACACATTATACACACATATACACTATACCCACACATCCACACATCCACATCACACACATATATACACATTATATACACATACACATCATACATGCACATACACATATACATTATACATACATATACACATGTACATATTATACACACATGTACACATTATACGCACATATACATTATACACACACACATACACATTATACCCTTACATATCACACACATACACATTATACACACACTTACACATTATACACATACACACCATATGCACATATACACATCATACATGCACACATGCATGCACACATATACATTATACACACATACACATTATACACACACATACATATTATACACACCCATACACACATTATACACACATCCGTATACATTACACACACACACATTATACACATACACACTATACACATACATGCACATACAAACACAGGCAATAAAAAAATTACATCTCTTCCCTCCACTCATTTCTCCCTCTCAGTAAGCAGAAGGGTGCTGCTTCTCCATGTATTGTTCCAGGTATGGGGTCCTAGGAAGCCACCCAGATCTACTGAATCAGAAGCCAGCTCAAGAGTGTCCATCAGCTCCCCTGTCATTACAATAGATATTAAAATTTGAGTTCTGCAGTACAGATGCTCAGAACTACACCCCAGCTCCAGAGCAACCTTGGCTCTGGCTTAATGTCCTGCCCCAGTCATTTAGGAGGAGAGCTTAATGTTTGTGCCTCAGTTTCTTTATTACAACTCTATGTGGCTATTGTAAGGATAAACAGAGGTACGTATCATATCTTAGAAAACACCCAAATATGCCAGCCATGGTGACACACACCTTTAATCCCAGGACTTGGAAAGCAGAGGCGGGCAGATCTCTGTGAGTTCAAGGACAGCCTGATCTATACAGTAAGTTTCAGGACAGTCAGAGCTACATAGTGAGGTTCTGTCTCAGAAAAAAAAAAAGAAAAGAAAGAAAGAGAGAGAGGAAAGAAGGAAGGAAGGAAGGGAGGGAGGGAGGGAGGGATAGAGGGAGGGAGAGGGGGAGGGAGGGAGAGAGGGAGGGAGGGAGGGAGAGAGGGAAGGAAGGAAGGGAGGAGGGGAGGGAGAGAGGGAGGGAGGGAGAGAGGGAAGGAAGGAAGGGAGGAGGGGAGGGAGAGAGGGAGGGAGGAAGGAAGGAAGGGAGGGAGGGAGGGAGGGAGGGAGGGAGGGAGGGAGGGAGGGAGGGAGGGAGGGAGGGAGGAAAAAGTAAAATGTCCAGCTAAAGCAAGTGTTCAATGAGCATTACTTGGAAGGCAGAGACAAGAGGATAGTGAGTCTGGGCCAGCCTGGGCTACAGAGTGAGACCCTATGTTAAGAGAAAGAAGAGGAGGAGAAAGGGAAGAAAGAAGAGGAAGCAGCAGCAGCAGTCCGGCATGATAGCACACACCTTTAAACCCAGCACTCCGGAAGCAGAGGCAGAAAGATCTCTGTGAGTTCAAGGCCAGCCTGGTCTATATCCAGTTCTGGGGCAGCTGGAACTGTAGAAAGAGATTCTGTCTCAATAAACCAAATAAAGAACAAGCATTTGATTTCCTCTCCTACAACATGAGCAGGTTGAAGGAGAAGACATCTTAACTTTTTAGGAAGATGATTTCCTTGAAAATACAATGAAAACTGCAGACTTTTCCCTTGGAAAATGCACATGATATGCAAGCAGACAAGTGTTATGCTCATGTCTTTATTGTAGGTTCAAGTAAAAGGAGTCATCTTGAAGGCCATAGATGACCCTTTGCATCCATGAGTACTTAGAAATATTGGCCAAGGTGGTCTTTAACAATGGTAAGTTTGCTCTGTGTGTGTGTGTGTGTCTGAGTGTCTGAGTGAGTGTGTCTGAGTGTGTGTGTGTGTGTATGTCTGAGTGTTTGTGTATGTGTGTTTTGTATTCATATCTTAATTTAAAGAAACCCTTTCTAAAGCCGGGCATTGGTGGCGCACACCTTTAATCCCAGCACTCAGGAGGCAGAGACAGGTGGATCTCTGTGAGTTTGAGGCCAGCCCGGTCTACAGAATGAGCTCCAGGACAACCTCTAAAGCCATACAGAGAAACCCTGTCTCAAAAAACCAAAAAAAAAAAAAAAAAAAAAAAAAAAAAAGAAAGAAAGAAAGAAAGAAAAAAAAGAGAAACCCTTTCTATACATGCACACATTGGAAAAGCACTGTGTGTGTGTGTGTGTGAGAGAGAGAGAGAGAGAGAGAGAGAGAGAGAGAGAGAGAGAGAGAGAGAGAGAGAGAGAGAGAGAGAGAGAGAGAGAGAGAGAGATTGAGAGGAGAGGAGACAAGATCACACTCTTTACCCCACAGTAAAGATTCCACCAAGGAAATTTTGAAATAGGCTTTGGCTGGATGCTATTGTATCCTGGGTCATCACTGTTTCCCTCCCAGCTGTCCCAACCTGGCCACCCATCTCTAGAGTTCTGCAGGCTCTTCCAGTAGAGAATGGGCATGTGGTCCTGAAGCATGCTGTTGACCCTTTGCTGTTTCCCAAAGAAAAGACAGATTGTTCCCAGGTCTGCAGAGCAGGAGCAGAGCCTGACTTGCCTCTCTCTCATTCCCACCGACTCCAAGTCCTTGGCCCAGAGGCCAACCAATAAAGAGGTTCCCTGATCTTCCGCCATCCCAACTCACTCTGTCTCTCGCTCTCCCTCGATCCCCACCCCCACCTCCAACAACCAAGCCAATGGCCGCACCTACGGACACCTGGTAGTACAGTCATATGGAACAGAATAGTTATTTTCAGAAGCCAAGAGACAGAACATGGGGCAGTTCTGTCAGAGATATTACTGCCACCACCAGCTCCCACAGATCACTATCTGTTATGTGAAAGCTCTAGTGTGTCAAGCTGGCCAGGGAAGCCATGCCAACTTCAAGGATGGATGGCTTGGACTGGTGACCATGCTTATGGTGGCAGGCAGGCCACAGAACACAGCAGGAATAAGGCTAGCAGGTGAGGAGAAGCAGTCAGACTGGACCAATGTGAGCCAAACAGTCGACTGCATAGGTAACCCCGCAGCACACCCGTCTAGCCTGGCCAGGCCAGTCAGGGGCCCCTTCACAGTGGCTGCTGTTGTCTCCCCCCTTGCTACCCGCCACACTGCTGGGGACTGGATGTTAAGGCTTTAGCATTAGGAGGCTGCACCGATTTGGACGCTGTCAAGGCACTGGGGAGCAGAGACAGGCAGATGCCCAGAATTTGCTGGCCAGACAATCAGCTAGAGAACTCAGATTCAGTGAAGAGACCCTGTCTCAAAAAATAACGTGTGGAGCAATAGAGGAAGACACCCAATGTCAATCTCTGACCTCCATATACACTCATATACGTGCATGTACACCCCCACACTTGCACACAGAACATGCACACACCACACACAAATAAGGCAGATCTATGTATTGCTATGTAATCATGGTTATAACACAGAGTTAAAAATCAAGCCGCTACAAAAAAATATATGATCCAAATGCTAAAGAAAGTGTATTACAGAAAAGAAATGGAAAAAATATATAATTTTTTGAGACAGGATCATACTCTGTAGCTCAGGCTAGCTTCAAACTTGAAATCCTCTTGCCTCAGCCACCCAAGAACGGGATTACAAACCTGAACCACCATGTTTAATCTGGAAAACCCTCTTGGGCTGGAGAGATAGCTCAGTGGTTAGGAGCAGGTGCTGTTCTCCCAGAGGACCTGAGTTCAGTCCCCAGTACCTACATCGGGCAGCTCACACTGTTAACACAAACTCATGGAGATCTGATGCCCTCTTCTGGTCTCCATGGGTATATATGCACACACAAACACACGCACACACACATGCACACACGCACGCACACACATGCACACACACGCACGCACGCACACAAACGCACGCACGCACGCATGCACGCACACATGGACACACGCACGCACGCACACACGTGCACGCACGCACACACACGCACGCATGCACGCACCTGTATGTATGCAGAAACCAGAGGGCAACATTCCTCAGGCATTGACAACTTTGTCGTCTGAAGACAGTTTCTTGATGGCCTGAGACTCCCCAAGTAGACTAGGTTGGCTGGCCAGCTAGCCCCAAGGATCTCTGGTCCTTCAGTGCTGGGATTACAAGCACATGCCACTACACCCAGCATTTTTTTTAAAACATGGGTCTAGGGTCAAACTCAGGTCCTCATACTTTAAAATATATAATTTTTAATGTTAACCAGAGGGTTTTCAGAACAATGGGATCACTTCTTTTTGCTTCTTTGG